ATGTCAAAATCGTGATCAGGGCCAGCGACCACCCCCGTACACAGAGTTCCAGCCTGAAAAATTCTTTTGCCTTTTTGGGCTTGGGTTGGGCTCTTTGGGTTTTTTTAGTTCCTTAACCTTTTTTTCTACCAAAAAAAGGTTAAGGAACTTAATGAGAACAATTTCTGTTTCTCGTTAGGGGAGAACGACATCCCTACTGAGGCGGTAGGGATCGACAATGGCCTAGAATGCTTTTCCACGAATGCCGCGACCACTTACACTAACCCCAAGCATGAAAGGACCTTCGACGCACCCTTGCGATAGGGTGTCCTGCCCGGCGGCCTGCTACATCATCGTCACGTCATCATCTTTACGAGGGTATGAGACTCCGGTCACCACTGCCGACCAAATGGTCCACAACAACCGCAAGAAATCGAAAATTTTTTAGCTGAAAGTTTGTCTTTGGGAGTAATCGATGGTCCTGGCTACGATTTTGACACTTACTTCCAGCGCCGACGTAATTTGGCGCCAGTATAGCGCTGAACGCTCTTTGTATGAGGGTACAAAGATGTACTTTCCACTTTTTTGGCGTTCCTGGAGCCGCTCAGCGCAAATGAAGCCCACTTCTGTAGTCTATGCGCAAGCCCATACAAAGTGTAAAAAACCGTTCTGAACAAGTGGGGAACGACCTGAACGACTTTCCCCGTTGAAGAAATCAGCCAGCTAGGAATCCTCCCTAATTTGCACGCGATGCCGCAACGCAAAAGCAACAACATACAAAATTCCATATTGCGATGATCATGCAGTGAAAAGCTACGCGCAGACAGCACAGCTGTCAGATCATTGAACGTGTGGAGAACCTTGGGATATCCTTGAAAGGAAAGGATTCGCATAGATGAGAAACTGATCGTGCGTGAGAAGCTGAAGAGTGCGAGGCTACAACGGTCTCAAACGCTGCGTGCGCAAAAGAGCGTACAATAGTATGGGAAATTCAAGCTGCGAAAGAATACTTCCCGGCCGCGGCATCGCGCGCACTGGAAAGTATTTCTTAGCTAGTTGGCCAGGCATACATAGGAGAACCAGTCTGAGAGATGCAGACACAAAGAGCCGAGAAAGACGACGCCCCGCAGCACTGCTATGTTAAGTGGATTGGCTCCTAGTGCTACCAAACGACCGAGTATTGCGAGAAGTGAGTGAACCGGGTTCAGCGCATAAATTTCTGGGCCTTTTCATGCTCTGACAACAGCTTTCTGCGCCTCATCTTTCGACATATAGCAAGGAGCTCATGCAGTTATGTAACATTAAAGCAAGACTCGTCCCATGATGTTGAGAGCAGAACCACTCCGCGGCCCTTGGTTTAAAGACACATGGTACGATCACACATAGTTTGGGTGTGCGTGACTATCAGCCCTTCAGCTGTCGAAGCGTAGCGGTTTCCCCTCCTAACATGCGCAGGAATGGAGATGCAGGACCGTGAAACACGTTAATTCCTTCATGCTCCGCCCAGAATCTTTGTCGCAGACTCCTGTCCATGCTAACAGCCTTCGTGTGCGCGCGTGTCGCGTGGAGCCTCTTGGCACTTTGCGAAGTCCTGTAATTATGCTCTGGAATACAAGTAAAACGCAGTCCTGTAATTGCGCTCTGGAATACAAGCAAAACGTAATTTCCTGATGCGGATAACATTTGAGGTGCTGCAAAACAAGAGCCGAAGATGGTGGCGAGGGCCAGAACTCAAGAGCAATTGTGATGCTTCCGCAACGTCACAGAGGCCGCGCATTCCCACAAAACATGAAAATAAAAACGGCCCACTCGTTAGTTCAATACAAGCAAACGCAATTTCCTGAAGCGAATAACATTTGAGGTGTTGCTCATGCTTCAAAGTCCGAATACAAGGTGATGAAGATGACAAAGGCTAGTAATGAAGAACAACGAGATGTAAAATATAAATGTAAAAAACTAAAATGAAAAAAATAGGGAAGCGTAAATTAATTAAAATCGCGTGTAAATTTCTGCAATCCGGCGCAAATGCGGCCCCAAAGCCACAGAAATACTTGGAACTAACGAGTGGAACGCTTGGGCCGTTTTTATTTCAATGTTTTGTGGGGATGTGCGGCCTCCGAGGGATTTTGCAGAAGTAAACAGTTGCTCTTGAGTTCTGGCCCTCGTCATCATCTTCGGCTCTTACTCTTCATTTGTGGCAGCACCTCAAATGTTATCCGCATCAGGAAAGTGAGTTTTCCTTGTATTACAAAACGCAATTACAGGACTTAGCAAAGTGCCAAGGAGCCGCGCGCTTACGACGGATGTTAGTATGAACGGGAATCTGCGCCGCAAAAATGTATAAGGCGGAGCATGGAGGAATTAGCGTGTTTCACGGCCCTGTATCTCCATTCTTGCGCATGCTTGGACGGGGAAACCGCTGTGCTTCGACAGCTGGAGGCTATTAGTCACACACACTCAAACTATTTATGTATGATCGTACCATGTGTCTTTAGGTGACTACTTGAACATTTTTGCATGGTATGTAGCGAAACACTGTCAAGAGACGGGCGACTGCGGAGCATCGATGAGCGGCTAACCAAATTGAAAATCCTCAAAAAAATGGGTGAGGGGGGGGGTGCAACACAGGTACACACTAGACTACACACTTACCATACGCGAGAAGCTGGAATGTGTGAGATTCAAGTGATCATATAATGTAGAATAGTTAAAAAAGCCATGAAGAAAAGCGCAAGAAGCGGAAAACAACTTGACTGAAAGAGCTGAGCTGAAGTTGTACGCGGACCCTGTTCTGTTTAAGCTGGTGCGTCCTTGAGCAAACAATATGGAGGCCATGGGTGGACCTTTTTGTTGCTTTCTCAATCTAGACCAATGGAGGAGGAGCACGTCGAACAGTTGGAGGGCTCGCGGCAGATTCCGTACTTTTCGAAACTACATACGCAAAGAACATTTTACACCTCGATCTGGAGAATCACAGAGTCGCTGATTCGGCGCAGTGAAAGGTGGGCGTCGTTTAGGTCTCCACCCGACTACGCTCGTCATATAACTGATAGTGCAGTGTGTCACATACTGTGAAGTTTGCCTGCTGATAGACTCTGGGTACAGCATCGTGATGTGTGAAATGCGTCAGTACGACCACGGTAAGTCCTCCTGTGGTAAGACCTCTCTCAAAACCTGTTCATCATCCTATCGAGTGCAATCTTACTGAATTCCTCAAAAGTTCTCCCAGCACCTCGAAGTCAAGCATGAATGAGTGTGCAGCGCGTGTGAAACAGGAGAAATCGAGAGTAAGAAATTTCCTTTGAGGTCAGTTACGACTCCCTCCCCAGACACCAAGGACGACACCTTGACGAGATTCTCTTATTGTCCCCTAGGATGGAGTCCCAAATGACAACTAGCTATTTCTGACGTCATTTCTGCACGCTTTTTTAGGAGAAAGAAGACACAGTTCTGCAGAACCCGCCCTTCCAGTCACTTTGCAAGGACCAGGATTCTTGGAGGGTAGTTTACAGCGCATCCCTCAAGGATCTATTTGCCTCGGAACGGAACAGCGAGTAATTTTGTGTCAACGCAACTAAGAGTCCGCAATATCTGAGTAAACTGCTGCTAATGGGTGAATGAACCAGTTACCCTTTGTGGAAAATAGGGGTGTGCGAAGTGGCTTATCCTACCATGGAGACTGCTCCTCTAAATCGCAGACTACTATACAGACCACCTACAATTAGTGCTCACGCAGAGGTAAATCGCGATCCCTGCAAATAGAGCATGTGACGCGGATAGAAGCGCTGCCAGGGCAGTTCATCAGTTTACCAGTCGGATCACCCGGCTCCCGCCGGGTGCTCCTCCTTCTATTTCAAAGCCCGGCTTCGCCGGGCCAACCTGACTCTTCCCTTCGGCGAGATAGAATGCGCTAGATGTGACAAACGGTGGCATTTTTTTGAGGAACTGTAGGAAGATTAGTTGAAAAAAGCTCATCAGTCATTATCTACCAATATCTGATCCCTCTTGCTTACTGCAGACTTTCAAGCGTGAGAAGGCTGCACCATATCATCAAGGACCGCAATTGCGACATTAGAATGGGTAAAGTTGAATAAGTCCGGATGGGTCCTTAACATTCGGAAGAGGCATGACTGCAGAGCCATGGGTGGCACTGAAAAGGAGAACCTCACACTGCTTATACATGTCAAAGTGTGTGTCGCACGGAGAACTCGAATGTTACCACCGACCGGACGTTTCCACTCCTAACGTTCCCTCCTTATTTTGCTTCAGTTGCCTTCCCCCCCACGCTCGACACCATTGCATGCATACTTCAATGGACGACATTGATTCTGTTGCCATCAAAGGAAAAAGTTCAGCCTCTAATACTTGGCATTATAGCGGTAAAAAAGTGATAAAAATGTAGCGCAGATGGTATCTTATCTGTTTTTTCGATTGATAAGATTACCCGTCACCCGTCATCAATGTCCTAATCACTTAGTCTCTACGATTTGGTAGCGTGAACCACCAGAAACAACGACGACGACTGCAATGACGTTCTTGGCCCATACCCTATATCATATCTTAGAACCAAGAGCTAGCTGATGCTGTCACTGGCGTTATAAATATGGTGACCTCCCTGTTCTAACACCTCTTATCGGATCTCATCAACTGATATCACTTCCTGTCACCCACCAATAGTGTTCCTATCACACCCTCTACATCACTTATTGAAACCAATGTCTCACTGGTACTGGGACCGGCGCTACGAATTTCGTGACAGACAGACGGACGCACACACACATTGACAGACACACATTATATATAGTAGGATTTCCACCAATGATGCCATCCTGAGCTCGCGACAATTGGAAGGAAATCTGCCCTGTCTGCGCTCAAAGCCTGTCCCGTCACACTATTTTTTAGGCATCATGACTACACATATCCCATTTTCTACTTTTAGGGCTCAATTTTTAGCGTAAATTTATTCAAACTAACAGACGGACGGAAGCGAATATTTGCTCGCTCTGGTCTGCAATCCATTTTCACAACAACAAACCTCTGTTAGCGATTAGGATTTTATCAAATCTCGGCTCATTGAGATCAATTGGGCACGTCGTGTATATCTCTTTGTTTTCACGCTCATCAAGTGGGCTGAAAAAGCGATCACTTCTGAAAATAGTGTAAAGTTTTCTTCTAGCCACTACTGTTGGTTGAACATGGAAAAAATTCCCACCCTGACGTTTCCCTAATTACTCGCGGTGCCGTGCAGAGCAAGCGAACACCGTAGGCTTGCGACGCTCCATATTGCAACGCTGATACAAGACGATAGGGAAGAGCTGATAGCAGTCGCATAGCTGGCCCTGAAGACACTCAACTTTGAAATCAAAATCACTCATACTACTGGAAGGATTTCAACAAGAAAAAAAAACAGCGAATCTATGATAGAATGAACAAAGCTGAATATTCGCAAACTGTTCATATGAAGTTGCACGTGACCACCTCTATTCACATGAAGAATACAGATGATTAACTGATGAGAAAGAGGAGCACAGCCTTAAGGATAAATGGAAATTTCGACAATTCGGACAGCAAGAATGAATGATGAGAGAATTACGTGCAAAACAATACATTCAAGATAAAAACATCACGCAAAGTTAGGACCAGATGTGCGAAAGAATGACGTGGCCATCAAGAACGGTGCATTCAGGAATTTATTCCGTTCTCATTCGAAAGAAGACCGAAAACTTCCCTGCGCAGGAGTGACAAGAACTAGCTCGAGCCTTAACAAGGGAGGACATTGCTTTTGAGCGTACACTGAGGGCTAAACGTTTAGAAGAACTGAATTCTTGACGTTTTGAGAGCACTCGCCCAACCCAGAGTCAGACACGCGGCGCGGCTGCTTCTGGCAGACGATGCTACATGTTAGAACTTGTTCATGGATATTCGGATCATTTCAGCGCTAGCTTGACTGACCGGGCCAAGCAGTAGCTTCTCCTCCCTCCAACCAAGGCTTGGACTTGGAGCGCAGGCGATTAGAGTCGCATTAGAGTTTGTAGCGCATTAGAGTTGGTAGGCAGCTAGAACAGAATAGCTGGAAAAGCGTTGGCAGCTGCGAGTGTCGTTGTTTCCGATTTACTGCACCGCGCCCATTTCCTAGCTAGTTGTCTTGGGGGAGCGAACACGAGGTCGACAGCCGGGTTACGTAACATCTTGAACTTTTGTGCATGGTCCTGTTATGAAACTCTGTGATGCAGATGGATAGAGGGCAGCGGCTGCCAAAACATCGGAACGTGCAAAAAAAGGTATGGCGAGCCAGGAAACGGGATTTTTCAAGGGGAGGTGACTCCGGGTTGGGTGAGCTACTTATGGTCGGTAATATGTTGGAATGAGCGAAGTCATGAGTCATAATGTGCCATGCAGAGGAGAGAGTGCAGAGAAAAAGAAAAGATCGACGCGTTCAAAGTGACTGAATTCAAGTTGTCCAAAACCGACACGTTGCTGCCATATTGAGTGGACTTGTTTCTGGTGGGAATTCTGCGTACTTCTCGGCAATAACTTTGAAACAGATAGGCCAGGAATAAGCTTATTGAAGGGAAAAGTACTGCGGGCTGAGGGAGTCACTTGTCATACGTGGAAAGCTGCAGTGTGTGAAGCCACCTTGGATATAGCACGCCACCAGAAACAGCAAAGATAGAACCAAAAACTGAGCGAGCCCAGGCGACCTTTGGTCGACTGCTCTACGCCCGTCCTTTGTCGAAGTAGTGCTGGCTCACCTCATTGCTACGCCTGGGACTCCTAAATGTGAACAGGCGCCAATGTTGCTTTGTTTCTGGTGCTGCGTATAGTATACCATCGGATGCCCGCTACTGCTACGCATTAGCTGGCCTGCTTCGTCTAGCGCGCTCCACAATGGAATTACGAGAACGTCAGTAAGCGAGGGCTGTCATACGCCCGCAATTTACTGCGAATGCACAACATACAGAGCAACCGGCTGCGGATGCTCTGAAACGCCTTAAGCGCATTCAACTTACGCGATCAGCGCTGATCGATCTGCTTGACGATCGCGGCGATCGGATCGCGCGATTGGATCGCGCGATCTGGATCGCGCGATCGGATCGCGCGATTGATCGCGCGATCGGATCGCGCCGATTGGATCGCGCGATTGGGATCGCGCCGATCCGATCGCGCTTATCTGAGGGTGAAAATTACTGCGGGAGGGGGTTATGTGCGTATATGCTTTATTGATCCTGCCCATCTCTCCTCTTTTCCTTACTTCTTTCCTTTGTGTACATAAACGCCCTCCTAGATTTTAAGATCACGTTTACAATATCTTTGAGTTATTTATTATTTCCTATTTAAAATTATACTTAAATATACACATAGCTAATTATTATACTGAATTTTGCACTTGTTTGTATATCGTTCCAAGCCGGCAGTTGAAATTTGTCCAAAAGTTAAGACTACGCAGCACTGTTAGCAGCGGTGATTTGGTGTTCTCCCTCTTCCCCGATTTTGCTCAGTCCCGCAGCATAGTTCAACTTTACTTCTTGTCACATTGTTTTTGCATTGTTTGTCGCGCATCCTCTCAGTCTATAACAACCTTTCCTTTCAATCGGCTTTCTGCAAACGTCAGTATTGGCGAATATGAACACCGAATAAAAGACATCAAAAGGTCGAGACTTACTTGTATATCGTTTTTGGAACTGCCTATCGAGTCAGGATACAGCATTGTGATTGAGCAATGGTGATATAATGCGCTCCCTTCCCAGAACTGTTGTTGTTGTTTGTTGAGTTGAGTTCGAACATGAAGCGAACGTGACCCCCTCTCCGCAGTAATTTATCCCCTCAGTAGGCGATCGGATCGCGCGATCCAAAATCGCGCGATCCGATCCGCGATTCTAATCGCGCGATCCAATCGCGCGATCCAATCGCGCATCCGACGCGGCGAATTCTCGATCGCGCGATTCGATCGCGCGATCTCCAAGCGATTCGCGATCGCGCGAATTCGCGAAGCTGAACGCGCTCTTTAGTAAATGCTTATTACTCAGCGGTCCGCGCCATAAACGCCATAGCAAAAAACATAGACTATTAGGAGATAAAAAGTGCAGTCGTATAATTCAGTTAATTGCAAAGTGTCGAGAGAACAAAAATTCTCACATATTTCTCTGACTTTCCTGTTTCAGTTCTACATACGCCCTCGCTCGTCGAACGATCGACTCGGACATTATATATATAGAGGGGATGTAGTAAGACAGTGGGGATGAGTTATTTTGTTATTGTTTGTATCAGGCAAGTGATGGCTATTAAGGAAAAGTTGTAGTCCAACTGAGCCTTTACTTTAGGCAGTGTATGGTCAAGATGTTCGTGAGAATGTCGCCCTTACCCCCTTCTTTTTTGGTTCCAAAAAAAAAATAACATTGCGCTCTCACCATCCAACAGTGTCGGCTACTCACTAAATTCCTAATTAATTTGGCAGCTTCCCCCCCCTTTTTTTGGCCGTCGGGTTTTTTTTCGGCCTTAACATGAAACTAGTGGACACGCTCCGACTATGGAAAATCTAATTGTAGAAGGTGCCATACTAAATGGACCGACTGCAAGTCATGACATAATAGAACAATACAGAGATGATGCAAACAATAAACGGTACAAGTCGTATCTATGGAACCTCGTATGTGAACGTCTTTGAGTGGCCGTGTCGAAACATCACATGTAATTAATAACGATGTATCGCGATTAAATTCACTGAGCATTCGTTAACCTGGGTGACTCCCTCTCTGGCGAGCGGCGCATCAGTGACCACAGTGTTAACAACGTCCTATTCCCCAAGCTTGAGACTGAGGAAAAGTAGAAGTAGGCTTGTCTCACACGTAAGGCCGCTGTTCATAGCTCTTGCGACCATGAAAGAACATGCAGAAATGCGCGTAAATGCAGAATGCGGAGAGTGCATCAGTGCGGAATGTTGCCAGAAAAGCAGCATAGTATACGTATCGATCTTGAAGAAAGCAGAAGTGTCTGAAAGTGCAGACGTGACGTAAGAGTGCAGACATGCCGAAAAGCAATTACATACGGTATCGATTTGACGAAATCAGAAATGCCGAAAGTGAAGAAGCCGGAATGCTGCAGACAATTGGCCGACTGTTCGGAATGTGCAGAAAATGCCGAAACAAGTGCGGAATGTGCAGAAAAGCCAAATGGATACTTATCGATCTGCAGAAATGCAGAAATCCGAAAGTAAGAAGTGTCCGAAATCTGCAGAAGTCCGAAAAGGTTGAAAATCGATACGATGTCGTTGCTTTTCTGCACATTCCGCACTGTCGCCATTCTGCACATTCCGGCATAAGTCGCATTATCTGCAGACTTGCCGCACTTCTTCACTTCGGCATTTCTGCATTTCTTTCAATCGATACGTATGTGAATGCTTTTCGTCATTGTCTGGCACTTCGGCATCGTCTGCAGTTCGCACTTCTGCATTTCTTTCAAGTCGATACGTATCTATACTTTTTCTGCAGATCCGCACTGTCGCACTTTCCGAGCACTTCTGGCATATCCGCATTGTTGCTGCATTTGCTCATGGTCGCAAGCTATGAACGCGGCCCTAACAGTTGAACAAACGCCGTAAAATTGCATTCCCCTGATTATTGAGTGCGGTAGGGTAGCAGAAGCCGCATGTAAGTGGCGGCTGTGACAGGAGATTATTCGGCCAATTTGTAGCGCATGGACGCGATAATTTCATGCTGAGTTAGCGTGTCTTTAAGGACCATAAATTCGTCTCAAAAGCGGACCTGTGGGCGTAGGCGAGCCCCTGTACTCGGTGTAGCCAGGAAGGTTGCACGTTTCTCAAGTACTAAACGTTTATGAAGCCTCGCAAAAACACAGAGAAATCTGCCTAGGATTCGTTGGGAGTGCAGTTTCAAACCGAACAGGTTTGAATCCATATATTTTTTTGTAACTACGATTTCCAGAATCTCAGAATGGTTTCGTTTGAAGATTTCTCTTTCTAAAAAACCTCTCTGAACTGTTTCTGAAACCTCCGGGATTCATGCACGATCTCGCTATGGGCGATTTCTTGAGGAACACTCCAGCTGCGCGAAAAACCGTGTTTCCTGTGTACCGTTTCAAGGTGAGCGTGGTTCGAATAGCCAGGAACCGTGTAGAACCGTATCCTGGTGGATCAAGCGAACAGCGTATGGTTCATTAGCGCCTGACTCGACGTTGCCAAACTTTGATGCGCGCGCATGTGAGGGCCGCGCAAAGAGGTGATGGATGGTGCAATTCGTTGGTAATGTCTGTTCATCGCTGACAAATTGTGTTTATAGGAGTCAGGGAGATCCATGGCGAACCTGTCCACTTGT